GATGGTCCCAAAAAACTATGAGCATGACCTGCTTAAGGTGCGACACATGTCTTTTAGGAGGCAAGTCAAAGTGCTTCCATTGTTTTGACTGGGTTTTAGTTTCTGGATTATAGTAATGGACCCAAGTTTCATCCTGCATAATCAGTCTGGCTAAAAAGCCCACCTGGTTTCCTTGGCAAATGGCTAAAATAGTGTTGGAACAACGAAAGAATCTCTTATGTCATGATCATGGAATGTATTTATTATCTCTATTCCCTAAAGTCCAAAGAAATATATCAATTATCGACACTCTTGGTCCATGGACACTAAATATGAAGGGATTAGTTGCCATGGTAGACGGGGCCTCCCATTACACACCCGCCAATGCACTGCCGGAGAGCCAACGGAGAGCGCTAGTGAAGAAAATCCAACGCGTGGGACTTCAGATGCGTTACTAAGTCTTTACTCTCTAATATACTGAAATTACACCGAGGAAACTCCCCCCCCCCCATTAGCGACCATCTTGGCCCTGATAGCAGAGCAGGGCACAGAAGGTACCATGGAAATTACGAATTAAAATACAGTAGATTACAGTAAATACGTAACTAATAGTAATAATATCCAGTGAATGTCACTTCACTGTATAAGGCAGGGGTTGCGTTACTTGCGACCCCCCCCCCCCCCACCCCCCCTGGAAGACAGAGATGCCACGTATGTTCTTCAGGATATAGCGTGAGAGTATCACCTTCCCAGCTTGACGGCATCTATCAATCCGGTTAGTACCTTTATAATTCCATGTTCACCTAGCATCAAGGTCGTTCGCTCTATCCTGCCGTTCGTTCGTGGACGATTCCTTGCTTTCCTGGGCCGGGGGGGGGGGGTCACAGGGGGCACATTCCCCAGCATTCACAGTATAGTTAGATCATGTCCTCATTAAGTTATTATATTATTGTTAGTTTACCCCGCAGTTTCCCTGGTTCCTCCCCTGCCCCCCTTACTCCCGAGGCCAAGAATGTGGGAATTCGGAGGGGTTCAGCGGCATAATTTCTACGTATGTGTAGTGGAGGGCGAAGGGAATCCATCGATACCAAAATCAGCGAAGGTATTGTGAAAAATTACTATATATATACATGTGTGTGTAATACATACATACATACTATGTAATAATGTAATAATGATAATTATGTAATACAGTACACACACACATATATATATATATATATATATATATATATATATATATATATATATAGATAGATAGATAGATAGATAGATAGATAGATATGTGTGGTGTGTGTGTGTGTATGTATTTAGTGAAAAAAGCAACCAACCAAATGGCCGGACTGGTTTACAACAAACGAATCACAGTTCCTCAAAAGTGGTACTTGTATATCATTCTCCCCCACCTTCGCGCACATGCACGAGGACACATGCACATATATACATACAAGCACACAAAAACACGGGTGCACGCGCGCGCACACACACACGCTCGCACACGGAGACACACGTACATACAAATACACGCACAGATACATACATATATACAAACATGCATAGAACGCACATCACAATATGCACATACATACACACGAACGCGAAGACACACACACTAACATACATGCACGCACGCACGCGCACACGTTCCTGGAAATAAATAAATGAATAACATTTAGCAGTGTGTGTGTGTTCGTGTGTGTGCATGTGTGTGTTTATTTCGTTATCTGTCAAACCCTTGTCTAACTGTTCATATCTATACACTCGATCCTCTTTTCCTTTTCCTCCTTCTCCCGCCTCTTCCTCTACTTCGCCTCCTCTATTTTATTTTTCCTCCCTCTCCAGCTTCTTCCTCTTCCTTACCTCTTCCATCCGCTTCTCCCTTTCCTCCTTCACTGCGCGAGCTGCAGATCCTTTTCGATCTTCTTCCTCTCCTTCATCTCCTCTGCGCCTGTACCCTCTTCTCTCTCTCCTACTCCTCCGTCTCCAGAAGGAAGTGAGGAGGGAGACTAAAGCCTAATGTGGCAAGAGACTATCTTCCTTTCTTCTCTCTCTCTCTCTCTCAATCTTTCATTCTCTTTTCGCCTCTTATTTCTCTCACTGACAAATAGGCATGATAGGTTCTGTGTATTTCTCTGGAATTCTATCTTTCGCTTTCCTCTCGATATGTCGGCTTGTCTGTCTCTCTCTCTCTCTCCTCCCCCTTCTCTCTCTCTCTTTTGCGTGTGTGTCGTTAGCTTGGATGCTGGATTCTCTCTCTTTTTTCTTTCTTTCTCTTTCTCTCTATTCCCCGTTCTTTCTCCTTCATCTCACCCGTCGCAGAGAGAAAATGATAAAAGGAGTGAAAAAGAAAGAAATGAGGAGAGGGAGAGCGAGGGAGCGTCGTAGTTCTACATCGTAGGAAAGATTTGATGAGTTTCCCCTCTCTCTCTCTCTGTGTTCTTCCACCTTTCTTCCTCTCTCCCTCTCTGTTCTTCCACCTTTCTTTCTCTCACTTTCTCTCTGTTCTTCCACCTTCTTTCTCTCTCTCCCTCTCTGTTCTTCCACCTTTCACCTGGTTGGAGACTTCGAGGAGCAAGAAATTATTACTTCGTGAACGTGAAACTGTGTCCGGAGAGCTGGCGTCGCAGATAACAGATAAAATTCAAGATCATTCCATTTCCCATTACAATGCATGCGAATTGGATGTACCCGGCGGCGAGAGAGTCGGAAGTTAGAACGTTCAAAGGGGTTCTCGGAACAATTGGGTTTGCTTAATATTCTGTTGATTTGAGGGTGAAATCTGTCAGAAACATCGAAGATTCCCCTCACTACAAATATAAACAATTAAGTTCATTTTCTCTCTTTGAGACTTACTTCTAAAGAACGACACACGACAAAATGGGGTCTTTTTACTTCTGTTGCTGTCGTTGCTGTTATCATCCCCCCCCCACTCTCCGTCCACAAAGCGGGTGTCAGCTGATCGACGGAGACAACAAGGTGTCCGTTGTTAAATGAAATACCTTGGGGGCCCCCTAGACTTTTGCCATTCCATTGGCAAATATTAATGGATATTGTTATATATCATTATTGTTTTTGTTCTTGATGATGATGATGATAATGATAATATATTTATTATTATTTTATTATCATTATTAAAAAAATATATATATTCTAGCCTCAGTTGCCTCACTTCCTTCAACAACTGAGGCTGGCCAATCGCCGTCATCAGGCAGGCCTTGGCCTTGATTCTGGTCCGCCTCAGGTCCTCGCGGCGGAGGAAGCCCTCTGGCAGGGAGAGCTCGTCTCCTTAGGCAGGGAGAGCTCGACCTCGACGGCAAACGCCCTCTCCTTGCCAGGACGGCGGAGGAAGCCCTCTGGCAGGGAAATATATATATATATATATATTATATATATATATATATATATATATATATATATATATATATATATATATATTTACATTTACCTTTGCCTCCCTGATTCAGGAGGTCGAGGAGGACGCCACCCTCGCTTTCCCGATTCAGGAGGTCGAGTCAGACGCCATCCAGGTTCAGTAGGTCGAGACAGTCATCCCCCTGATTCAGAAGGTTGAGGAGGACGTCACCATCGCTTCTCCAATTCAGGAGGTTGAGGAGGACGTCACCATCGCTTCTCCGATTCAGGAGGTTGAGGAGGACGTCACCATCGCAGAATTGTTCTAATTGGTTGGAACGCGATTTTCAGAATGCTTTAATGGAGTTACTCGCCTCCCCGGAGGTCGAGGAGGACGCCACCCTCGCTTCCCCGATTCAGGAGGTCGAGGAAGACGCCACCCCGGTTGAGGTGGAAGAGATCTCCGCGGCCGCCGAGGAGGAGGACCTGGGAGAGGCTGTTCGCATGCCTGTCTAAGACGCAGAAGTGTGTTCGATCGACCTCGAGTCGTTCGTCTTCCCGGTCGGGGGCTTCCGGTATGGCGGCGCGAAGAACGGGAGAGCGACGCCGAAGGGGAAGGTCCCTGTGCCCTGCCAGGAAGAGGAGGAGGAGGACGGATTTTCGGTCGACCTCGACTCGATCGTTCTTCGTGGCGAGACGAAGGCGTCCCGCGGCACGAAGGGGAGGAAGAAGGGCAAGAAGAAGCGCGCATTATGATGATGCGCTGAAGCTGAGGGCGAAGCAGGACGGCGCCAGACGCTCCCCGCCGGTGAGAATACCAGGAACCTGGGACGGAAATACCCGGACATTCTGCTTAAATTACGGGTCCGAAAAGCGAGCAAGGAGTAGTATTTACGCTACCGGTGTTTGATATATAATGATGAGCTGAAGCTGAGGGCGAAGCAGGACCAGCGCCATACGCTCCCGCCGGTGAGACCTCGCGCCTCCCCCGACACACCTCCTGCGGGAGGACAAGGAAAGGAAGAGGAGGACGACCTTCTCTCTTCAAGGAAGTCGTCCGAGGGGCGGCGGGCGAAGCTCGCGCTCGATGTTCGTGGAGGAGCAGAGATTATCGCATCTCCGCTTTGGCCGCTGATGACGGGCCACTGCCCAGAAGCCACGCCTTATGGGCGTCTGTCCGGAAGCCAAGCGGCTCCCGGAAGGACAGACCGCCCCAGAGGCGCCTCCCACGACTGTCTAGAACTGACACCAATCACGCCCCACTGCCTTTCCATCCCGTCAGGGACCAGCCTTTGCTGGTCGCGGGAGGAGGCAGTGACTGGCTGAACCTCGTTCGCACTCGCAAGAAATTGCGAGGGAGGCGGGGTCGCGGCCGCCAGACTTTGGCGAGGTCACAGCCGCAGTGGGCCACCCACGCTGATTTTCGGGGAAAAATGATAAAAATAAGAGAAAAAAAGAAAAATAATATGTGGCCTCATGTGTTCAACAAATACTTTTTATACATGGTCAAGGTGCACATAAAAAGAAAAAAAAGAAAAAGAAAGAAAGAAAAAAAATAGACACACAGGTACACACATATATACACATTCGTGTGCGTGCGTTTGTACACACACACTCACACATACATATATACACACATACACAGACATACGCACACACACACAGACACA